CCTTTAATTTAGCGGTCTCGAGTAATGAGTACGAGAAACTGGTCTAGGAGACTCGGACAGAAAACCCGATGGCTAAACCTAGATAAAATGTCCATAAGGTTACAAAACAGAACAAAAACAAAAAACAAAAAAAAAAAAAGAGAGAGAAAATTAATAATAATGAGGAAGCGGTTGGATTTGGTGAAGGTTGAGGAGGAGTTGTTGATTACGGTTGAGTATTTGAGTTTTGATATCCTAATTTTTTGAGCTTCTTAACCTATATTTGTCTAACCCAATCCGGAAGCCTACGTTGCATCCCTAAAAGTCCTCTTGATTCACCATCTCATAAGTTTGATTGATTTAGAGTAGAGGTTAGACGATAGGCAAGCATATGATTGATTTGACTGACGACCAATTTGAGTGCTCATGTGTTTTATTTATGGAAGAAATTGAGTGAGGCATTTATATAATATCTCTGTTCTCGAGAGTCTGTGTTATCAAGTGATTGAGTTTATTGTCAAGGTGTGTTCTCGTGGTCATTGGAATTCTTTTCAGCTTAGTTAATCAATTTGAGATTTTTCTTGTTTGAAACCATTGTCCACACTCGTTTGTTTGTTTTATTTTCTTTTCTTTTCTTTTTATTCGGGAGGAACAAAGGTTTTAGTGTGGGGGAGTTGTTCGTTCCATTTTTGTCGTGTTTTCCTTGTTTAGTTTATATTTATTTTTTCCCCATTATAGGTTAATTTCTTTGGTTCTTGGTCCATTTTGTTTCTTGTCGTGCATTTTCTTTATTTTGCTCCTTTTTGGTTTTCTTGTTCATTTTTCCTGTTTTTCTGCATTTTTCTTGTCGGTGGTGATGTGCAGGTTAGGTGGTTGTGCCGGTTATGAATTTCTTGTGGGGATTGCAATCTAGGAGGTTGGATACGAGCCCGAAAATCGCAGCTATGTCACAGGAATTCTTCACCGCGGCCTGTGACAGTGATCCCACGGCCGCGGTGAACAAAAATTTCTCACGCCACAGTTTTAGTCGTCGCGGCCGCGACTCTTTCTTCACCGCGACCGCGGAGAACAAAAAGGTCACAGAATGTAGCTTCAGCGCAGAAAAGTCGCGACCTCGGGTTCGGTCGCGGCCGCGGGCGTTCTTCACCGCGGCACGTAGGATTCTCCGCGGCCGCGGAGGCCACAACATGCAGAAATTAATAGACAGTTTTTGTAATCGTTTTTTATTATCTTTTTATTATCTTTAAGCTAGGTTTTGAACCTTTCTCTCGTACCTTTACTTCGAGAACTCATATTTTCGCTTTGTTTTCTTTGGGATTCAATCTTGGAGTGTAAAAACTTGGAGATTCGACTTTTGGAATTCAGTTGTTCTTGTTTTCGACATCGGATACATTAATTGTAATCTTTCATTTCGTTTTCTCCATGATTGAGATGGCTTTAATTATTGTGTATGTTGATGTTGAATGCATTATGAATAGCTAAATTCATTAGCTAGGGGTATGGGATTGTCGTTCCAGTTCGATTTCATTTATATACATGATAATTGGTCAATCATTTCGAGTTGTGCTTAAACCTAGGGGTTTAGATGCTTGATCACCATTTTAATCTAATTAATTGATTCTAGAACCGCAAGAGGAGAAATCGTTCGACCTAGGCCCGTTGAGAATAAGCTTGCTCGTAATGGTATTGCTTATGTGTTACTTGTTTCAAGGATTACTTGTTTATGTCTATCCTCTTGTTACGAAGAGTTATTGAGGATAGATATCTAGATGAGTAGTTTGTCGAGTCATTTAACTGAGCTCTTGAATGCTCGTTAGATGCATTGAGAACCGGATGTGATTGTCCCCGATACCCTAACACCTTTATCATTATTTGAATTTAGTTTTGATTTGTGAGTTTGGAACTTCTAGTCTTGTTTTTACAATTCGTAGTCGATAAAACAAACCAAATCAATCTGAGTAGAGTGTTAGGATTATTTTTCTTTTTGTGATTGAATATTCGCGCAAGTTAATCCGGCTAATCTTCCTTGTGATACGACCTGGGGAACGAATCCCTTGATTCTACTGCAGTAAAAATATTTACAACATACCTAAACCCATAAGTTAAGTATCTCACGACCATTACAATAAATATAATCTCATAAATAAAATTCGATAAATATGAATAATCCGAGAAATTCTATAAATCGAACAGGGCTTTACAGTCTATCCTCCTTAAAATATTTCTGTCCTCGGAAATACGAAAGAACATGCATCTAAAGGAAAACGAAAGACTCGAACAGAAATTTTCAATCATGAGGTCTGAGTATCCCCTCCAAAACTCAACGCCTGCTCGTATAAGTCCTATCGCCCTAGAATCGAAAGGCGTACACCCCCCTACAAGACCCAATCCGACATGCCCTACGCTCATATGTTTACCTTCTTGCATGGGAGGGTGATCAATCCTGCCCGAGCTCAGGCGCACATCTTCTTGCAAGGGACCTAGTTCGGCTTGGCCTATACTCATAAGTTTCAAAATTGATAACCAAATATTCCAGCATGAAACGGTTTCAACAGTTCAGGAAAGACATCGATGGTTCAGGGTTAGTGCACTATCACCCAAGAGGCGGCACGCTCGCTGGCACTGCATAAGCGGGGCGCTGGGACGCACGCGTACACACCTACGTGGAGACCAGCTGCAAGGTCGAGGTTTGGCCACATACGCTGGCTCAGGGAGTTCGTGCGTTCGGTGATGACGGCTGCAGCTATCATGCGAGTTAACAGTCGGCCCCTAGGTTAGCCTCGCATCTCTTAGCACGGACGTGCGTGCTCAGCCACCACTTCGCATGGCTACACCCGGTCAGGGTAGTCTTTTAGTCCAAGGTTCCACACGGAATTTGCAATCCAAGACAATCCAAAAAGGAATTGATTTTACCAAATTTCAAAAATTTTGGGTTCAACAAAACAATATCTATTTTAGGCATTCCAAAATTTTCAAAAGTTCAAGGGTTTCAGAGATAGCAAGGTGCAAGTCCGAATTCTAAATCCACTTCCTTTCCAAACAACACATCCTAATACGCGAAGAAATCAACGATTGAGATAGGTGAGAATTCTCAAAGAAATTCTAATACGGTTATTCAGTCGGGAAAAATCCCAAATCAGCAACTCTTGTCGAGAGTTACAATAACTAGCTTGCGTTGAATCTTCTGACTAACAACGTCAGCCGTGACGTCAGCTTTCCCAAGACTCTGAAAGAAGTAAAAGAACGAAAGTTTCTACGATGGACAAAATTTAGAATAAGGATGATTCTACAACTCATGACGTGCTTGCTCCGGATTCGACTATTCTCCTTAAAAGATTTCACCATAATCCTTTTAAGGTGGAAAAACACTCTTTGATATGTGTCAAATCACTCCATCTATCTTATCGAACCGATTTGCGTTGGCTTCTTCTCCTGTTCGTTCATCTCGATGTCGAGTGTGAATAATCATTGTTGTAATATCCCGATATTTTATCGGTATAAATTATGTTTTAGTTCCGATATAATAATGTTATCGATTATTAATTTCGGAATTAATTTATTTTCAGTCGATATTACCGGAATTTATTTTCGACGTACCGTTTACGTTCGGGATAATTTTGGTAATTAAACATTATGTTTAATTAATAATTAAACATAATAGAGTGATTAATTAATCACAAATCATGTTTATTAGCCCTAAAAACCGTATGAAGTGTTAGTATTTTCATTTATAAATGTCGTACGGTTTTAGTGGGAGGATTGAGATGAAAATTTGATCCAAAATTTCCTCAAGTTATCCCAATTGGGTTAGACAAATATAGGTTAAGAAGCTAAAAAAATTAGGATATCACAACTCAAATACTCAACCGTAATCAACAACTCCTCCTCAACCTTCGCCAAATCCAACCGCTTCCTCATTATTATTAATTTTCTCTCTCTTTTTTTTTGTTTTTTGTTTTTGTTCTGTTTTGTAACCTTATGGGCATTTTATCTAGGTTTAGCCATCGGGTTTTCTGCCCGAGTCTCCTAGACCAGTTTCTCGTACTCATTACTCGAGACCGCTAAATTAAAGGTTGGAGCACTTGGAGTATAATCCGTTCGGTTCACAATTTTTTTTTTTAAATACAACTCCAACAATCATCACCACCCATTTTCCAAACATCATCAACATGGGGTCAACAACGAAAATAAGAAATACGGCTCAAAGGGGGTGACTAGTGAGTATTATTCTCGAATGAAGAAAAAGGATACACAAATAACAAAGAATGCCTCAATCATGTTCACCTATCACGAATCCAATCGACTTAATTCAAAACAGACTCAAGGCAAGTTCTGATTTGTCAACATTCAGACCAATATCTCATAAGAAATGAATATGGCTCAAATATCACCGGGTATATATGTATAAGTAGGGCTGAGCATGGGACTCGGAGAATTCCGAACCGTTCCGAAAACCGAACCGAAATCACTCCGAATCGAAAAATAACCGTTGACCATTTGACTTTCTCCGAACCAAACAGAACCGAAAAAATAATTGGTACGGTTCTAGAGATTTCACAAATATACGTACCGAGAACAGAACCGAACCGTCCCATACCGTACCAAACCGAAGAACCGAAATTAAGAACTGAATTATATCATTAGATGTGTTATTAATATATTTTATGTCACCATTGATCCTTTATAGTATAGTAATAATAACTATTAACTGTCACTTAACTTTCATGCTTAGTAATTTTTGATCTACAATTGAATTTTTTCTATTATAAAATAATTATTTAAAATTATATGAAACGTTAAAGAATATTTTTCTAGAAAAAAATAGTATATTATTTTTTGAATTTTAAATTTTCAATATTAGTTGCACATATTTAGTCTTAACTAAAATTTAGAGTTACTTTTAAAGTTGATTTCAAAATAAAATTATTAATATGAGGAAGTATTGATAAATGTTGGTTGTATTAAAGCATATAAAAATTAAATAACTAAAAATTTAGAGTTACTTCAAAAATTGATTTCAATATAAATCTTCAATATGATGAATTATTGATGAATGTTGTTTTTAAAGCATATAAAAATTAAAATATAACTAGCTAGTCATTCAAAAAAAAATCTAAAAAAATAAGAAATCTCCGAAGATCTGAACCAAACCATAGCGAACCGTACCGTCCCAATAGTCCCGAATACCGAACCGAACCGAACCGAACAGAAAAAAATAAATCTCTGAACTGAACCGAACCAACTTTTTGGTACGGTTCCGGAGATAGAATTTTGAGATCTCCGAACTTTGGTACGGTTCCGGAGATTTATCAATTTCCGAACCGTACCGACCCATGCTCACCCCTATGTATAAGTGTTAATCAAAGCAACCAAGCCACATCAAAATATGCCACTCAAGATCATCATCACATCTTTCTAACGTCATTAAACAATCATTAACCAATCTTGAAATACACCAATTGTCCAACTCAAAAGAACAAATAAACCTAAACTAGACTGGTCCACCAAGCTACAGAAAAGTAATAAAACAATCCTAAAAAGAAAACTAGACCCGGTCCACCACATAGCCACGTAAGCACGTAAAACTCCCCCACACTTTAAATCAGACAATGTCCCCATTGTCGATTTGCAATGAAAGAGAGTTAGACCATATAATAAACCGACTCGAAAAGTAAAGAAACTATACAAAAATAAAAGAGAAAGAGAAAAAGAAAACGTACAAAGAATAGTGACAAGTCACTGTGCGTCCGGTGGTGGCGGTGGTGGGTAAGGCTTAGTGGGTCTCGAGCTCCAGTGGGTGTCCCACTGGGTGAACCTCTGATCCCAGCTGTCCAGTCGAGCATCCTACTGGTCCTGCCGCTCGTGAATGGACCGGAGACCCTCGGTGAAGTTGTCGAAGTGCGTGCCCATCTGAGTCCAGTGGGTCTGCTGCTGGGTCTCTCAATGGTCCCACCGATTCGTCTGGTGGGTCTCTCAGCTGGCCCACTTGGTAGTCTGACGGCTCTGGAGATCGTCCCATCTGCTATCATGGGCGTCAAAATAGTCGTGGATGGAATGGATGTCAGCCGCATACGGAGTCTGAAATGAGGTCCACCATCTCGGTGGCTGCTGTGGAGGAACCTCGGGCTATGGGTTCGGAGCCGGATTCCAGACTGGTGGAGGTGGGAGGAAATGGCCATCATCGACGTTCATCTGCTCATGATCGACGCCCTCTATCGGTTGCCGAGTTGACCCTGCCTGGTCGGGGTTAGGCGCGCTCTGCTGAAGCTTCTTGAAGTAGGTCGAGTAGGCCTTGCGCTTCGTATACTCCTGAAGGGTAGTCCGATTCTTGATGAGGTCGGATGACTTGAGCTCATGCTCATTGACACACCACATCTGAGACTCGTCCTTAGACCAGTCCAAACTGGGATCCTGTTGATCAATTCCGAAATGATTGGTTAGTTAACAAAATGCCCAAGTGCCGGTGTTCCACGCTGACTGAGTGTGATATCCTGCAAAGGGTTCTGCAGAAAGGTCATAGAACACACAGACACCCCTGCTCTAATCGTCCATAGAAGGAAAAGCTCGACCTCGCTCACTTTATTTGCCTCCTTTTTCTCGAAAATATTGTAGCAAATGAATTTGTGCACAATGGCAGTGGCCAAGTCCTGAATGAGTCCGTTGGGCATGCCGACAGAATCCCAAGTTGTGTGCGGGGAAAGCTCAGCCCAACTCCTCTTAGCATCAAACTCTATGGACTTGTGTCTCGTCCCGGATACGTTGAACCAGCAAACCCTCTTCATCACAGCATTATCCACTGTGTACTCCTTCCCCTAAAACCGACAAGTGATGTACTCATTGTAACACCCTTCCTTATCGTAAAATCAGAGTGCGAAAATTTCGCAAAGTCTTTTAAAAATAAAACCTTTTTACTTTGCGAAAACTGATTAGGGGTGCTACCTTAAAAACGTGACTTAATTT